AAACTAAAATTATATTTATAATTGACTTAATTGTTAATTATATGTGATTTAATTATATAAAATTTATATGATTGAAGCCATATTTTCTTTTTAATATCACATTTTTATCTATCATATTTCATGGATTATTCAAAATTACAGCAATGTAAATCATAATGCAGTCACATTTATATTTTGTATTGGATTAGACATGACCAAGGCAGCCACTGATTTTATAGGTCATGTGAGTAGTGCCAACTGTAGCAACAAATCAGTATTTGCTATTGTTATAATTTTGACTCTGTATATATCAATATTGTATATTGCGTATTTTGAATATTTATGACACTACCCATATGATCTGCAATTTCACCTTGTAGCATATTCCCTGCTCTCTTGATTTATACTAAATATATTACCAGATTTATTATCTGATAAATGTGATTACATAATCATAATAAAAAATATTGCATTTCATAATTTCTGACTTAGACTTAAAAAATTAAAAATGCTTATGTTTTATGTTATATAGAAGATTTCAAATCATGTGACATCGGCAGTTAAAAATAAAAGATTATGTATTATATTTTTAATTAGCTATTTTAACTATTCATAAGAACTGGTCTAGACTGATTAATAATAAGACTGGTTTAAAGACTGGTTCCTATTCAGTCTTTTCAAATCTAATATTATATATAATATATAATCATGTGACAATCATGAAGAACCTTTACAATTAGATTAGTAGATTTGAATCTGCTGTAGTATGCCTAAAAAAAAAATAATCATAGATATTAGAATATTAATAAAATAAAAAAACTATCTATAAACTTAAAATAAGAAATGATTATTCTAAATTATTCATAACACATAATTATATGATGATTGTGAAGGACTTTTATGATTGGATTAGTAGATTTGAATCTTCTATAGTATGCCTAAAAAAAAAAAGAATCATAAATATTAGAATATTAATAAAATATAAAAACTACCTATAAACTTGAAATAAGAAATAATTATTCAAAATTATCTATAATACATAATCATGTAATGATCGTGAAGAACCTTCATGATTGGATTGGTAGATTTGAATCTGCTGTAGTATGCCTAAAAAAAAAAGAATCATAAATATTAGAATATTAATAAAATAAAAAAACTACCTATAAACTTGAAATTAAAAATGATCATTTAAAATTATCTATAACATATAATCATGTGATAATCATGAAGAACCTTTACGATTGGATTAGTAGTGTTTCAATTTTTTATAAAATATAAAAATACATATAAAGATTATTACTAGAAATATAATTTTTTATTAAAATAATATATTTTAAATAATTGTTTCTTATAAATCTTATTGCATTTAATTCTGAAGCAAAGCAAAAGAACTTAAGTTCAGACAATAGGTAAGAAAAATTCTGGATAGATTTCATATATAGAATAAGGCATATTGTATAAACAAAAATTATTAGAGATTGGATCTAGGCTCTTGTTTGCCATCTGTCTATAAATTCATTAGGTTGCTTCAAATAACTTAAACAACCTAGTGGACTCTGGTAATGTATAATATAAAATTGGTTAATTTAGTCGAATCAGATTTAATATATCTTTTATCCAAAGATATATTCATTCGATCATGTATTAAGATCTTTATCAATTGCTTTATTTTACTTATCCATCTTTAGAAATTAGCTTGGCTTGTATATTTAACTATATATTATAAAATCTATTTAAAGCCAAATAAGCTAATAACATCACTATCCATCTTTGAATTTTTATATTAGCATCACATATGTAATATTATACTTTATTCATACTGTCTCACTACAATGCACATATCAGAACTTTAAAATTATTAGCATTTAGTTAAAATTAGATTGTTATATCTATTTTTCACTTATTTATACAACTTTTAGATATAGTAAAGACTAATGAACCTTAGTTTATTTTAAATAATTAGGTAAATAAATATTTTTATACTTACAGGCTATATATATCATTACTAAAATTGAATATCTTATTAATTGTTCTTTATACAATGCAATTTAAAATAAAATTATAAATAGTTAATATTTGAATAATTTATTTTATGTTAATATTATTTAAATAAAATGAAATCAAGCAATAAATATTATAGATATTGTACTCAAGTAGATATTTTTATTATATGGCCATAATGAGTTACCTGAATAACCAGATAATTTAATATTAGTTAGGTAAAAAATTTTTTGACAGATACAATTTCTAAAGTATTATGAACTTGCTTATTTCAAACAATAAATGCTTTTCATATTAATACACTAAATTATTATGAATAAATGAAGTAATAAATATTTATAGATTTGAATAATTTATACTAAATACTAAGATTATGATTAATTGTTATAAATAGAATTAAATAAATGTTCTTTATGCTTACACATTAAATATTTAGATTAATAAATATTCTTTATACCCATGCACTATAAAATGAAACTATTGTTACAGACAAAACAAGTACCAGAGTTGCTCTAACCCAGTGCCGCCCCGACCTATGCCCCCTTACAGTAAGAATGCTCCTGAAACAAGCAAACAATTGTGCATCGATTGTACCTTGAGAAACTTGGAAGCCAAGCCACCCATCTGAAACAATGCCATAATGATGCAGAATCAGATACTATAGCCATTTGTTGAAAGAGATCTGCCAGATTGGGCTAGTTGTTTGTGCCACCTGAGGCCATTAAAGGTCCTGATCATAATGACAGATCTGAAACTGTTGAGTTCAGTAAGAAAATGTTGGATCTTGGGCCCCTGTGCTATTTCTTTTTGTGGGGTGCAAAAAAAAACATTAACCTACTACCTTCAACAATTTGGTGGTGACTGTGAGATTCAACATTTACCCACACCTCTCCTGATCAAAGAATTTCCAACCAATACTACAACTCTTTGGAACTACATCACCTGATCTTTGTGTCATACTTTTTTTTACTTTTTTATTGATTTTCGTTTGATTTAGAGTTTATTTGATTTTTATATTGAATTTGAGTTTATTGATTGAGTTTATTTGAGTTTGAGTATTTAGTATAAATAGAGTTTGAGAACTTTGATTAGTATTTCTTTTCATAGAACAACAAAAAAAAAAAAAAGAAGAAAGTGTGTGACATTTTTCTTACCTGTATTACGAACGTCATACATCGAACCCACAAGCACCTTTACCACTGCAGTTACCATCGAAAGTAAAACTGACCACCAAACCAAATGGCTAAGGATACAAAAAAAAAAACAAAAAAAAAAAAAAGAGGAAAGGTTAAAGACAAACAAAAAAAAAAAAACAGAGACAAAAATGAAAGCGATACTTCCCTTTATGATACTTGGACCCAGACCTTCTGCATAGAACCTGCAAATATCTAAAGTAATCGATTGAAGGAACCTTGAAATAAAAAAAAAAAAATGAATATGAACCATCAAGAAATTGGAGGCTTGGATGACCTTTTTGATGATAATGAACGAATAACCAACTGTCCCTTATGTAGACCAGAGCTTATGAACCATTGCTCCACTCCTAGTAATGCCAGAAGAACTTCTGTGGAACAGTACTCCCTTTTTAATAATGAAAGTAATGCCCAAAGTAATGGAAACCCAACCATATCTTAACCACAACTACCCCTTCATGAAGTGTTGAAGGAAATAGCTAACGTCTTTAAAGAAGCCACTGTTGGAATTGCTGCTGTCACAAGACCACCTGTATGAAAGACCAATTTAGTGTGTATAGAACTATTTTATGGAGAAAAGGAAGAAGACCCTCATGAATGGGTTGAGTTATTTGATTGTGCAGCAGATGCTAATAATTGGGCCCCTGAAAAAAAAGTAAAAATAGCTTCTGGCTATTTACGAGAACTTGCTGCTCATTGGTATGATGATTTTAAGTGGGCTTTCAACTATTGGGATAATGAAAAAGACCCTGAAGGTAGTTTCGTATATAACTTCACCCAATACTTTGCCACTCCTAAACAATAACATAAATGGCAAGTGGATCTTAACTCTTTGGTTCAAAGAGAAAAAAGCGAATAGATCCATATTCTTATAAGTTTAAGAAACTTTTGCATAGAGTTGACCCTGAAGGACGCTTGCTCCAGTCATACGTTGTATGAATGTATTTAGAAGGATTGAGACCAAAAATAGCCTCTTGGCTGAGTATTGCTGAACCAGCAATGTTAGATGATGCTATAGTGAGTGCCCAAAAGATTGAAGCAGACGAATACTATAATGAGAAGGTTGAAGAAAAATATAGGGTTAATAATAACAATAGTAATTATGATATTAATAAGTTAGAAACTGACCTTGACAAATTAATCCACCAAATGCAAACAATGACTGATAAACTAACCTTTGCCCTTGTAGCACAAAATGAAGCCCCAGCATCTCGACCTTGACCAAACTACCAAAATCATAATCCATCCCAGCTGACTTGTTACACATGTGGAGAATCTGGACACATTTCGTGCAATTGTGTGTTTGAAAGGAATAGAGGAAAAAACCAAAACCTGAATCCAAACCCAAGAGCTCAAAATAACCTTTCAAACAATCGAGTGCTCCCACCCTGAAATGTGAATTTTTATAGACCAAGAAATATGGAAGGTCAAAATCAAGCACAACCTCACCTATATGTACAAGTTCCCTCTTGACATAAAAATGTCAATTTTTGTGGTCTTGATGAAGACGGATATGAACCTGAGAATGAACTAGAGGCATACATAACCTCTGTGGCACAACATCAACCATATACAACACAAAGACCAAAAGGCCAACCCAAAAAATCGAAAAGTTAAGCAGAAAAAAGATTGAGAATAAACCTACTAGTAGTGAAGATACCTGTGTTGGCCCCTGCACAAGTAAATGAAAATTCGCAATCACTTCCTAAAAAAGTTTCACCTCCCAGACCGAGACAGAAAAGAGAGTCCTCTATAATTAACAAACTGGTTCCTTACGATGTGTCTGATGACATAATAAACTCAAGAGCCAATGTGACCCTTGGACAGATACTGCAGTACCCTGACCAATGTCAAAAACTAGCAAAAGTACTAAAATGTCCCCTATTACCACTAGTACCACCAGTGTTGTACCCTGATCAAATGAAAACCCATGCTGCTCAAGACCCTCAATTTGGAAAAACTATTGCTACTAGGTGCTATATAAAAATAAGAAATAACCCTATACTTGCTGTACTAGATTCTGGTGCTGCAGTAAGTATAATGTTCAATAAAATAGTAAAAAAGCTTGACCTTAAGATTACTGAGTTCTCTACTACTATGGTTATAATAGCAAATAGAGCGAGAGTAAGAGCCCTAGGAAAAGTGGTCGATGTTAAGTTAGTTGTAGATAGAATTTTGGTCCCAACCACCTTTCAAGTTATCAAATCAACTGACAAAACCCTTCTTTTGGGAATGGACTGGTTCAAACGAATGTGTGCCTGACTTCACGTGGATGAGAATAGGTTATATGTGCAATATAACTATAAAGTCACTAAAATCCCTATATCATATAATAGAGAAAACCCTTTGATGGAACTTGAAGATGATGAGGATAAAGGTACCTTTGATGAATTTGAATTTGAAGATGAATCACTAGAAGAAGCAGAAGGATATTTTACCTGTAAAACCTCTGGAATCGAGTTGTTTGGAAATCCCTAGAAAGACTGTCATAGCCCTGCCACCTACCTGTTACATGTAGAAGAGTTGCTGTCGAATGAACCTGAACCTGAACCTGAAGAAGAAGAACTCCTTGAAGTAAAGCTGGAAAAAAATGTGTGTAGTAGTAGTCTGCTCCTAGAATAATGTCAAAGAGCCCTTGAAAAATTAGATAGTAAAAAAGATATTTTTGCATGTGATGTAAATGACTTGTGTCAAACAGATGTGTTGGTACATGAAATTGATACTAGTAATGCTGTTTCTATAAAGCAAGCCCCATATCAAGCTGCTTCTAGTGTATATGAGTTTATTAGAAAAGAAGTTGAAAATCTAAAAAAAAAAGGATTGGCCATTGAATCAAAAAGTCCCTGGCCATCCCCTATTGTTGTAGTCCCCAAAAAAGGTAATAAGTTAAGGATGTGTATTGACTATCAGAAGCTCAATTCAGTCACAAAGAAAAATGTGTTCCCTCTGCCCCGAATCGATGACTTGCTTGAGGTTTTTGGTCATGCAACTTTGTTCTCCACTCTGGACCTGTTATCAGGCTATTGGCAAGTAAAGTACATGAAAAGGATCATGAGAAAATGGCATTTGCGACAAGTTTTGGCACTTACAAGTTCCAAGTTATGCCTTTCGGTCTTTGTAATGCCCCTGCTACTTTTCAACGTCTTATGAACTATGTACTGGCAGAATGCATCGAAAAATTTGTCATTGTGTACCTTGATGACATTATAATTTACTCATTTACTTTTGAAGATCATGTGAAGCATCTGACTATAGTTTTTAACAAATTAAAAACTATTGGTCTTAAACTAAATATAGATAAGTGCTCTTTCTTTAGACCTTAATTACAGTTTTTAGGTCACATAGTAGATCGTGATGGTGTCTGTCCTGATAATGGTAAAGTTAATAAAATCAAGACTTTTCCCACCCCTGTGAATTCACACCAACTTTGAGGGTTTATAGGACTAACATCTTATTACCACAAATTCATCACAAATTTCGCTGCCATTGCTCACCCCTACATTATTTGCTAAAAAAAGAGGTTAAGTATGAGTAGAAAAAGGAACAAGAAGATGCATTTCAAAGGCTGAAATGATACTTAATTGAAGCCCCTATATTGCAATACCTGAATTTCGACAAACCTTTTGTAGTTCATACCGATGCATCTGGTTACAGTTTAGGTGCTGTTTTGGCACAAAAAAATGATTTTGGAAATGAGTATATCATTGCATATGCAAGTTGAAGTCTTACTAAAGCAGAGCGTAATTATACAACTACTGAATTGGAGTGTTTAGCTGTTCTGTGAACAATAGAACACTTTCGACACTATCTTGGCTTGGATCCCTTTGTTGTTGTCACCAATCATGCAGCCTTGAAATAACTTTAAACGTCTCAATTGACTAGATGTCATGCTCGATAGGTACTATGAATGCAACTCTACAATTTTATGATAATTCATCATTGTAGTCATAAACACAGTAATGCTGATGCATTGTCTCAAATTTCTGAACTACTGAAGCCCATCAATCAAATATTAAAAATGTGATTAAAAAAGAAAAAAAAAAAAAAAAGAGAGAGAAAAAAAAAAATTTGAGAAAAAAAAAAAAGTAAAAGAGATAAATCCGGTTACAACAATCATAACTAGGTTCCTGGTGTCCTGGCATGTATGTGCGTGAGTGTGCATAACCTAATAATAACAACCAAATTGTTTATATCTTACTCCTCCATACTCAACTGCCTAAAAAGCATCTAGTGCAATTCACAAAAAAAAAAAATCTATATATTTTGTTTTTTTTTTAGTATTCAGTGCAAATAGTTATGAAGTCAACTCACTATACCCACCTGAAGAGATATTTGAAAAATAGAAACTTACCTACCTTATGCAATAAAGATCAACAATGACGGCTCAAGAAAAAGAGTGAATATTTTGAACTAAAGGAAGGCCTCTTGTATAAAAAAGATCATAGAGTTAAAGGAAGGCTTCTTCAAATGCTTCAACAACATGAAGTGGACCTAATCTTGTTTTTAATGCATACTTATTCACTTGGTAGACATCTTAATAAGGACATTATGTTTGAGAAAGTTCACAACCTATACTTTTGGCCCCAAATATACCAAGACATAAGGAAATACGTGCAAACTTGCGACCTCTGCCAAAAAAGAACCCAATCATGTGAACAAGGCCCTCTGCACCCAATACCTGTCTTTGCCCCTTTCTTTAAAATTGGTATAGACTTTGTAGGTCCCCTGCCCAGAACCCCTAGGTTGAATTGATACATAATAGTAGCAACAAACTTCATGACCCGATGGTCAGAAGCTCAACCAGTACAAAAAGCTGATGCTCAAACTGTTGCAGATTTCTTGTATAATGACCTAATTTGTCACTATGAATGCCTTGACCGAATCTTGTCTGACCATGGAACACATTTTTGAAATGAAGTAATAAGAACCCTGTTAGAAAAATTAGATATAAAACAGCACTTCTCTACTCTATACCATCTCCAAATAAATGGTCTTGTAGAAAGGTTCAATAAAACCTTGTGTGAAGCCCTTGAAAAATTGGTTGAGAATGTTGTAGAATAGGATCTATTGGTGCCCTCAGTGCTCTTTGCCTACCGTACTGCCTGAAATGCAACTACTGAATTGTTTCCTTTTTATTTTGTCTATAGTCGTGAAGCCAAACAGCCTATCCACCCTAGCCATAATGAAGAGTTACTTGAAGGAACCATCTTGCAATAAGTTTTTGAGCTTGTAAATGAGGTCTCAGTTACAAGAAGTTTGGCTATACAAAGAATCCATGAAAAACAAGCAAAACAAAAGACCTACCATGACCAATGCTAGCAACTAAGCCCTGGGTATGAAATTGGAAAAAAAGTTTTGTTAGAAGACACTGCGAAAAAGTATTCCAAGAGTGACAAACTCACCTCCAAATATAAAGGTCCCTTCTATGTATATGCCAAGCTCCCGAATGATGCATATAAACTGAGAACTATCGATGGAAAGGTACTAGCTGCACTCTTTAACATGAGCCTACTCAAGCAGTATAATGGAAGACAGTCAATGTGTGTTCAATCAAAAAAATTATATATATATATATATATATATATGTGCCTACATAAGTACCAATGGAGTTTCTTCAGTGTGTACAGTCACTCATGACAGTTGTACGCGAGGTTAAGAGGCATATAACAAGGGTTGTATCTTTCATCTTGGATGTGGACATGTTTTTTTTGTTGTTTTGTTGTTTTTGTTTTTTGATTTTGTTGTTGAATCACCTTGTGTTTTTTGTTGTTTTGTATGTCTTTTGATATTCGACTATAATGGTTTTGTGAACTTTTTGATTAGATGTTTTGGTAATACTGATTTAGATTTAGTAATAGATTAGTTAGTCATTTCAAAAAAAAAATTAATTAGCATTAGCTAAAGTAATTTGGACACCACTGTGCCTGTGAACTCTACCGACCGATCTCGACTCTACCAACTGATCTCAACTACCTGACGAATGAACGAAGAATCAAGACTCTACGATTGCCCTTGGGTGACATTCTTTTCACGTGGAATGTGAAAATTGAGTTGGGAAGAATTGTTACAGGCAAAATGGGTACCAAAGTTGCTCTAACCCAGTGCCGCCCTGATCCATGCCCCCTTACAGTAAGAACACCCCTGAAACAAGCAAATGATTATGCATCGATTGTACCTTGAGAAACTTGGAAGCCAAGCCACCCATCTGAAATAATGCCGTAATGATGCAGAATCAGGTACTATAGCTGTTTGTTGAGGGAGATCTGCCACATTGGGCTAGTTGTTTGTGCCACATAAGGCCATTCAAGGTCCTGATCGTAATGACGGATCTGAAACTGTTGAGTTCAGTGAGAAAATGTTGAATCTTGGGCCTCTGTGCTGTCTCTTTTTGTGAAGTGCTATTCTTGTATATAAGTGCCTTTTTTTTGAGAGAGAATTAAGAGAGTTAACAATTATATTAATAATAAAAAACTGTCATTAGCAATAAACCAAAACCTTGCACTTATGCCTTAGCCTTGCCAAATCGTTTTGCCTCTTCTGTGATGCAACATTTTGCGACGTTTGGTATTTTCGAGCGACAATTTGTTGCATTTTCCTTGCCCTATTATAAAACCAAAAAAAAACATTAACCCACTACTTTCAACACTATAAATAGTAACATTTATAAAATTAATTCTGTCATCTAGTGCTTTGATCAGATTGACCTGAATGACCTGAAACCAACCTAGTTATAATGAATTTACTATATGGGTCATGACCTATCTAATAAATTTATTATAACCAGGTTGGTTTTAGGTCATTCAGGTCAATCTGATTGGAGCACTAATGCTAATGCAGGCCAAATAATCTCATATTAAAAAATCCTGTGCATGGCCAACAGTATTTAAAATACCAGTCTAAAAAATTTCTCTAGCCAATCAGATTTTGAAATCAGGTGTAATGTGAAAAACAAAAATAAGTTAAAAATTGCTTATAACTCAAGATTTTGCCTATGCAACTGCCTTCTGTATACTAATAAAAAAGTTTTTTTTTACAAAAGTTTAGTATAACTATAGTTCTTTGAACCTAACTAACTCACTAGCGATCTAATTTAAGAGTAAATGTTTTTTAGCAAAATTTTTTTTAATGAAATCACATAATAGTGAAATTTTTAGACTGGCATTGCTAGTCCTATATGCATAGCTAGAGGTTGGATCTGGTTTTAATAATTCAGATTTATCACATAAATTTTGTGATATTTTGAAATTTATTAAAATTTAATTGGACAAATTTCCAAAAAATCACAAAATTCACATGATAAACCTGAATTATAAAATTAGTTCCAACCTCTACATATGGTCCATCACTATTATAAGCATCCAGCACTATATATATAATCTATTAGTTTAATATAAATTAACTTTTTATTAATATATTTTATCTTTTATATTATAAAAAATATTGAGAATTAAGTTTTAGAATTTATTATATAAAAATCTAAAAGTTTAAAATTAAAATTAACTTTACCAAAACATAACAAATTTATATAAGCAATTAATTACTAGATATTTTGCAATTAATTAAATCAAAATTATATAGTTACATTATTAATAATATATTCGATTTGTGATATATTAAATTCTGAAATTTTGTCAGCACTAAATGTACTAACTCTTTCAATTTTATTGATACCTATTCCCTTAAATAAGGTATAAACCTTATTTACCTTTTCCACTCTTTTTCTTAAAGCAATATAGGTCATATCAGTGAAATGGTTTAAAGTTTATCATATACTTCAGATATTGCTGATTTTTTAGAACTTTTATGTTTAGATTTTTTTTGATTCCTTAATGTTTGATTAATCTGTTTATCAAGCTTATCTGCAAATTCATACCAACTCCTAATTACTATTTAATTTGCCTTAGTTGCATTACTTTCAGTACGAATTATATTTGTATAAAGTTGAATTAATGATAGTACATTATTACTGTTATTATTATTATTATTAATGTTAATATTATTGTTGTTACTGCTATTATTTTCGCATTCCCTCCTAATAGGCATATTTAGTTCTTTTAATAACTGAATCATTTGTGTTTTTTTAGATATTTGCTTTTGATTTGGTTGTTTTAGATTTAGTAGACTTGAATGCCTCAGCATATTCAATTGACTCAATAGATGCAGAAATAAAATTTGTAGAATCTACAGAAGCAATAGATTCAGTATATTCAACTAATATAAAAAAGGTAGTAAGTTCAGTGAATTTAACAAGCAATCATTAGGTTCTGTAGATTCGATAGATTCAATAAGTTTGGTTGATTCAGTGGATTTAGTAAATATAGGTTCAGCAGATTCAGTAAATGTAAGTTTAGTAGATTTAGTAAATGTAGGTTCAGTAGGTTCAATGGATTTAGTAAACATGGGTTCAGTAAATTCAGTAAGTGAAATAGAAATATTAGCACATTCTAAATTCAATAAAGAGTTAATAGAACAGCTACTTTCTTGATGATAAATCAATGCATTTTCAATCCTATTAGTTTGTTCTTGACATAGCAGACACATATCACCAATGCATTCTTTATAGTAAAAATGTTTACAGCTTAAAATTGTAACTGAGTCTTTAAGACTTGGATCAATAACACTTTTGCATATTATACAAATGTCTTTTTTTTTCATATCAATATTCAGCAGAATATCTCTAGGTTCTTCATGGAAAATAACTTTATAAAAAAATTCTTTTAAGGATTCTATGCTTGTCTTTTTAAAAAAAGGTATCTGATATACTATATTTATATTATATTTATAACTAATGAACAATTAATTTTATATACATTATAAATTAACTTAACTATACAATGATAAGTTTATATAACTGTATTATTTATTTTTGGGTATATGTGTATATGATATCATTAAACATTAGACTTAGACTTTTTTTATATGTAATATCATCATAGTAATATATCATCATAGTAATACATCATCATAGCTTATTCTATAGCTTATTCTGTAATACATCATTATAGCTTATTCTATAGCTTATTCTGTAAAGCTTATTCTATAGCTTATTCTGTAAGCTTATTCTATAGCTTATTCTGTAAGCTTATTCTATAGCTTATTTTGTAATATCTCATTACAGCATTATAGCTTATTCTTTAATTATTTTTATTTTTTTTTTTCGGTATTAAGGTGACCTCTTTGGTCCAAGTTTTTTATTAATACTTATATCGGGTATATATTTTATATAGATGTATCTATAATGAACTATTAGACGAGTGTACAACTGGCTACATATGTAACTTTTCTATATTACCTATTTAAGGAGTTCACCCGAGGGTTCTCCATCAGTTGCCATACCTAACACCCTTGCTTAGGTGTTCTATTTAAATCCTCTGATCTAATCCTGGTATTAATTTCACTGAGTCACAGACCCAGATCTATTCGCTATCGACCATAGGACTATAATCCTTAGACTATTTTTATTCTCCAGGTAAACCTACTAGAGCGAGCCGTATTCCTTTTTACTGCTAACCTGGTTTGATGCTATGGCTGAAGCCAACACTTGCAGTCAGGGTTACCCCTTAGACTGCTATTATTCTTGTAAAGTTCATCCAAACCCTGGTACCCATTTTTTTGACTTCTTCTCCATCGTCCCTACTAGCTGCAACTCAGAACTAACCAACTTTCCAGACTCCCAATCCAGATAGCTTGGTATGGTATACTTATGTATCCTTTTCCTCTGGTGATTCCGGAGGCCTGGTTAGTCATGTGCTCCTCTATACATCTTTGTCATCCAGTTTATCTGACAGTTCCTATGAAGGTGTTTCATGAGCTTCTATCAGTCCAATGGTACCATTGAAAGTTTGTGCTACCTCTTTACTCGGAATTTCCAAGTGGGTTTCCATCTCTTCAGTTTCTTAGCCTTCTATGCCTAGGGAACTTATCATGGATTTGCCTGAAGCCTTATATGACACCGGTTTTACATTCCTCTATGTACATGTACCATGTAACATTATACTTCGCATAGATGCCCTGAGCTCCCAATGTCAGATGGGGCCCGACTTGGTGTACCTAAGATTACAGATGCCCAAAACCCAATTGATCGTAGAGACAGTTACCATAACACAGATATAATTTCCAAAATTCGTTATCTATAGGAATTGAACCTTAGACCTGCCACTTGGGAGTTAACAACCTATCTACTTCATTAGGTCGCCACACCCCTCTTATTCTTTAATTATATAATTGATTGATATAGTTAGTTTGATGATTATCTATATTGATCACTAATTTTTCCACCACTTCTGATTGGCTGTAACAATTATTCAAAAAGTTTCAAGTAAAAAAATTCACATAGTAGAGTCATCCTAATGAT